TATATATATATATATATATACACACACACACACACACACACACATACACACAAAATATATATTTGCTCGTTTCTTTAGGCTAGGTCATCTAAAACGTGTATAAGCTTTCAAAACGTTCACAGGGAGGAATAAATCCACGTTGGGTCAATATTTCTACTTAAAATGAGCTATACAATGTCGCGTATATTTTTGCACACGTATTAACATCGTATAAATCTTGTACGTGTATAAAATCCATATCCATTATCAAAGAGAAATTGCCAGGGAATATCGTTACGATGCAGTTTCCGCTGATCGTTCTTTGAAAACGATTTAAAATGGAAACGAACGAAAGCGATGCGATAAAAAAAAAAAACGGTAGTATAATTATCTCAAATGTTTTTCAAGACCGCAACATATAATCACTTTTGTGGGATTGTGACACGTAGTTTGATATCCGCTTTCTGCATTTGTGGTGAGATTGTAAATTATAAGAATATGCGTAATGCAGAAAATGCGTGAAAATATACAAGGTATTTAAAATAAAGTATTTATCATAATAGTAAATAAAACAAAACATAATAAAACATTATAGTAATAAAAAATTTCTATTTAAATTCTATCCCTTTAACATTAAAGATCAAAGTCGAGGTCAAACTGACCAATTTTACAATTTTCCTTAGAAATTTTCCTTAAAATTTCATAGATGCAAAACATTCAAAGATTCAAATAATTTTTCTGTATTCTATTGTATTATAAAGTTTTCTATTTTTGTTTTGCATGAATATCTTTAATGAATTTTTATATTCAAGTCGTCGCTAGTTCTAATGTTAATCATCGGTGTTCGTAGAAACTTAAAAATTCATAAAAATCCACAGTCTACTAATGGCATGATCGTTCGAAGAACATCAAGTTGTTTATTATGATTGATCAAGTTAATTAATTGGAAGGGTAGCTCGTCATCTTCATTTGCACATTAAGTTCATTTGATTGGCAAAAGGAATCGATGACAGGCGGACATGGACAAACGAAAACTTTCGAAACCGTCGATTATGTCTTTTTTCAATTTCGCGAGCGGATTGCGCACATGCGCGGTTATGCATTTTTATCGACGATGTTTGAAAATGTGCGTTTCTCGCGCGCCGCTTGATATCGTAGATGTTTAAACGATTTAATTCCTCGAAATTTAGTCAGATTGAATTTGACATTCCGATTTATTGGGCCTTCGTACGTTTCTGCGTTCGGTTTTTGTCCCGTTCTTTTTTTTTTTTTCGTCTTTTTAGTGCATTTTCCGTCGCCGTGTATCGACGTGCCAGTTGAATAAAAATTTGACGCGTTGAAACGTGATTAAAACCTTGATAAATAATTTGCGTCGGGGTAAAACGATATTATGTATCTGATGCGTAGTTAACCTCCGTTTCCTCGTCTCTTTCGCTCGCACAGACTTTTACACGGTTTTATACCAATGCAATACGCTGCTGTTTGCAAATTATTTATCTTCTGGCCGTGGAGTAAAAAGGTCGGTGGAAGTTTTTATCGATGTGAAATATTCATCTGCCGCGCGTTCGCGTCCGTATCAAAATAAACTTTTGCCTGTTTAACTCACGACACCGTGAGTTAAACAGGCACGGCCCCGAAAAAAATATGGAGATTTCGAGGTGAAATAAAATTCGGCTGTGCCTTTGTTTTCCCGCGATGGAAAAATAAAGACATCGCTGCGACAAATGAACGAGCGACACGGGCCGCGTCGCCGGCAACAGTTTAATTGACGTTTCGCCAACGTTTATGAAGGTACGATTCCATATTTTTCATCGCATCGGTCGATGCATCGGTTCGATCGCTTGAACGCGGAGAAAAGAAGTCAACGCAGTAAAGGGGAGAGACGATGGGTATAAAGGAGAAGGCGGTGAAAAGGAAAGAAACCACAGTAGACGATTGAAAAGCCAGGCAAGACCGATGAATGAACGACTTCAACTCCTTTAAACGACCGTTGAAGGAGAGATCTCGCATCTAGCTGTATACCGAGAAATCGGGCGTCCTCCGTCCGCCGAACGCGCTTGGTCTTGTAAAGAGTTTATTTCCCAGCGGCGTGTAAATGATCTAAGAAAGCGTTCGAGTACGTACGAATAACCGCACGGGCCATTAACTACTCAGAATCTTCTTTTTCTCTGCCTTCGTATTCGTTCTTTCATCTTTCTTTCTTTCTTCTCGTTTTCGTTCCACCAACGGTAGTGGCGTCGTTGAACGCCGCGCACGAATTTCGCTACGAACCTGCGAACCTCGACCGCGAATCGATGAAATCGATTCGCGTTAGCATGCGAATTGTAATATTTGTATTCGGGCATAATGTTCCCTCGTATCGCGGTTAAATGTACGTAGTACGGTTCCCAATCGCGAACATTGTAGAAATGATATCATATGATAATAACGCGTGCCCGTAGCTGGAAACCGCGTGGATTTTTGTCCTAAACCCAGGGCCGGTTTATTGTTTTCATGCTTCGGGTGTATATATCAGCGCGCAAGGCACGGCCCAGAAATAATGAGGTCGAGGTTCTTATCCAATTACAAGCAGATTTTCTCTTATCGGAAGTGTTCATCGATCGCGCTAATTACCGAGATAATAGAGCACGAGAAATGGCAAAATCAGTCGCTCCGAGGCAGTCGGTCTTTCTATCCCAGGCCAGACCAACTCTAGATCGGACCAATGAACGCCGTTCTTAACTACCTGACGTTAGACGTTTCTCGGTATTAAACGAAACACGGTCTTGTCTATCCGTAACTCACGTATCACGAATTATGAAGCAACGAGCGTGTATGCGTCTTCTTTTCGGCAAACTGATCCCTCGTTGGTTCTCGAGACGAGATGAGAAAATACACGCGAGACATACATACGAATGTGTTTAATAGAAACGTGGGCGTCATTTCTCTGGAAGAAAATATTCTTTTTGTCAGAAATTTTGCACAGATCGAAAGTACACTCAATTAACAGCGTGTTCAATCTCAATCACCACCGACTTCTCAGCATGTGAACAGATCCATATTTCTCGAATTCGACGAGATTTTCTTTTTGTTAAGATATGTGTCCCTCGCAGTCTGTGCTTCATGACTGATCAAACATTTCCAATCGGACTGAGTGAACAAACACACTATCGTTTTCCCTTTTCTATCGCGTCCAAACGCGGCTTCGATGCTCGGGATCATTATTATCTTCTTAGTAATAGTATCCAAGGTTTCCTTCGCCAGACCGGTGTTTCACAGACTTTAAAAGTCCTCTCGTACAATTTGATTGTTTGTAAAGATGCATAAAGTCCCAAATACGCGAACATTGAAGCAGCTCTAGAAACTTTACACTTTTATTGGTTGTTTGACAGTTCTCTGAACAATTGGATAAGACCAGATCATCGTTTGATAGGATTTGAAAATGTTTACTGCGTTTTTACCTGTCTCATATGCTGAAAAGTTCCTGGAAAGCATGTCCAAGCAATTATCGTTAGTGGTGGAGATTGGACATACTGTTAATTGAGTGCGTAATGATATTGCAAAATTTTTTATAAAAAAAATATTTTCTTTCAGAGGAATGGCGTCCACGTTATTAAACACACGGTACGTACGTACGTACAATCGTCGTAGCAGATGCATTCCATTTGGTGGAATTTTACTAAGGTACGGCGACGTACCAATCGGTTTTCTAGCGAGTAACTAGAATGTATATATAAAGAACAGACCAGCTGGATAAACGGGAAGATGACTAGATCGCGATCGTGTCGGTCTCTGTATCGCGATCTCGTATCGACGGATTCTGATTTTCAATAGAGGGGCGCGGGAAACGATGTGGATTAAGACGGCACGTTTCCAAACCGTATTCACCGGCGATTTTCATTCCCCCGGATCGACACGCGCGGGGAAACACACCCGCGTTGAATAGAGATTTTGGCTTTTCACCGACGATTGGCCGGTTAAGCGTCCAGCCGCGTTTAATTAACAAAATCTGTCGATACGCTACTTTCGGCTGAGAAAGCTTTCCGAGCCCGCTCCGCTCGCAAAAATGAAACCTTTTTGCTTTTGAAACCTTTGCTCCAGCGTCGACCGCGTCGACGTAGCATTAATTTGCGAGAGCAAAATGATGGATTAGAGAAATGGGACGCGAGATAAACGGGAAATTGATTAAACTCCGTGTTGCCGTTGCCGTTTCCATCCGTGGTATTTCGATGTTCGGTTAGATTGCCTTCGACGTCCCGACTATTACATAGATACGAAGCCGGGAATCAAGAATGGTTTATGTAAAATTGATAGCGATAAATTTCGTTTTCTCTCCCTCTCCCCCTCCCTGGCTCGGCTACAACGAAAAATACCAAGTAATTGTTTTTCCAAGCTTTGGCTGAAAGTTTCTACCTCGTATAATTCGATCGTTGGCGCTCGCAATATCCACTAAACGATGGATTAGCCGGCTAAATGAAAAACTGATTACAGCCTTGTCGGGTCGGCGGGGTTAACTTCTATCTATCCTTTCTTCGTTTCTTCCTCGTATTCTTTTCCTCCTCCCCTGCCCCCTCCCCCTCCTTCACCGTTGAAATTGAATGCTCGGATCGAAATCGTTACGAAACCGAGTTGATGAAGTACAGGTTCACGTACAAACTGATAACACTTGCAAATGCTGGCGGTTACGCGCAAATCCGTCCGTTCTCCCCGGGGAAACGCCGTTTCAGATAGGAAATTTTGAAAATCTGCTAATCGGTCAAGTTTGTACTTTGTTCGTCGAATAACCGGCGTGTATGCTTGATACGGGGATTAATTGACGCTTTATCGATGCATCGATGATTGGTTAGCGATGCGTAGAGCCTCGAATAGAGAGATGAATACGGTAGCTAGTTTCGTTTTTTTTTTCTTTTTTAACGTGGCCCATCACACGCGGTCTTGTCAAGATGAAAAATCACGATTCCACGTTTTCCAGCTCGTTCTGCTTTTCCTTCCTCTCTTTCCATCGTTAAAACTAAATTTTCGAAAGGATCGATTGATTTATAAACTGCCGTGTGCTCTCTATCGTTGTACGTCGAATCATTAACTCGAAATCGTTCGAAGGGAAATAAAACGAAGAGCCGATATTCATACACGGGATAAACGGGCTATGGCCCGCTCGATCTAATCTGCTTTGATAAATCTTCTTTATTTATAAGTCTATTAAATGCAATAACACGTATACGTATATACAACGAAAGTCAAAATATTTAATATATTTCGAAAACATTTGTCTAATATTTCCTAAGAATTTTCTGTTAAGTCAAAATCTGAAGGCTGAAGTGGAGGGTCAATTGATTCGGAATGTTCCACAACAACCAATCTTTAATCACTTTCGCAATATGCTTGCTGTACGATTCATGAATCTGAAGATTGAACTTTTGCAACTAATGCTTGCAGTTAAATTCGGTTGATATTTGAATATCCGAGGTTGTTCATAGTACTGTTAAGAGAAACGGACTTCTCAACAATTCTCCGACTCCAAAGGAAAGTCTACCTTTCACCATAATATTACCTCCATCTTCATGTTTAACGAACAACAAGATTTGTTGCATGTAGTTCTATACTACTTGAAATAAATATTGCATACTATCGTACCATTTCAGTTTTACTGATATTTACATTCCGTATGTGTTATACGAATCTCATTTTTGTTAGATACGCACTCACACTCGACTCTCACTGTATAAATCTTGATTAAAAAAGAAGAGAAAGAATATATTCGAATTGAACTGGCACTCGAGTACAGAACTTAAACAAGTCGATATCGATCTGACGCGGTTAATGTGCCGTTGAAAGAGCGACAGCTATAAATAGGCAAGAACACGAGACGAAAATCGCCGAATCACGTACCGTATCACGGCAATTAGAGACGATCGAAAACCGCTGCGGCAGATATGTCATATTTTCGTATTTCTCGTCTGTGTCATTGCACCCGGGGAACTCCGCATAGAAAACCGCATCTCATATTATTATATCGATTTTCCGCGCTTCAATTTATTTTCGCGAAGCGAAATGGGGAAAACTAATTTTGTAATTAATATTTGCAACGGATTCTTCCTGTACTCCCTATTTTGTTTACTTTAAGCATCGAACGCCGTCGAGAGAGAGAAAGAGAGAGATACTTCTTGGTTCTAGCGCAATTGATGACTGTAATTAAAACGGGGCGTATTCCGCTCGTAACCGGCGCGTTTATCTTTTTTTCTCGATACGTTCAGTGATTTTTGAATTACCGTCAAAATGACCATTTCTCTCGCGATATTATCCACGGGGATGTGAGCTCGGCTGAGCTTGGCAATTCATTTTTCCGCGCGCAGAGTCTCTGTCTCTATCCCTCTCTTTTTCTCGTGCAATTTCTCTTTTTTCTCCTTTCTTTCTGTCCGTTCCATCGGTATTGTATCGCAGAAATT